TTTTTATGAATATATTTTACACAAGTCTAGATTCAACAAGTCGACTACACAATTCGTAATTGAAATTGAATTTAATTATATGTGTTCAAGATTTGATTTGACTGTAGATTGACAACACTATCTACATGTAAATATATATCAATGTTTATTGTTGCGAAGGCCCTTCACCGTTATCTGCAACATGGAGATACTTGATACATACTAAGTCCACGGATAACCATAGAACTAATTCTCGTAATTCTCTTGCATGCTCCATTCTCTACCCCCGAAATAAAACCGTTCATCAAAGCATCGTCCACTTTTAATCGCATTTGATCATTAAAAATAGTCTAAGCGTAGGCTCATCGTCATGAGCTTAATTGGATAGAAACTTAGCATTTATTGCAGTAGCAAATTATATTTAGAAATCTGAAATTTCGACTTTTGCATAATCCAAAATTTCGACTTATCGAATCCAAAATTTTGACTTGTGCAAAATATATTTAGAAAAATATAAATAAAAATATTGTTTTTAGGTGTGCTGAAAAGGATTTCGTAGGAACTCTCAAAAACAGTGACCAAAAATAAAAACGAAATTGTAAAATCGGAATGACCTTCTAGCTAGGATTATAGATGTAAGTAAATACTAGTAGGTGTATGATGAATCGCCCCAAGTTAAATCGAATGCAATAGCAGCTGGTAGGTGACTAATTAGGACTTGAAAATAATTGAAATTTGAATAATTCAGCAGTGTTCTTGATATTGCTGTTATTTTTATATTGATTACATTCCTTGATGAAGTTGTGGCCAAGTTCAATAGTGTGTTTTGCATTCAAAATAACTTTATTTAATCAGACCGATCTGATGATAACTTTCAATTTGGAATTTACCGTTGGCATTGTGTTATACACTTTTCTTCTGCTGTCCAGTATGCTCAATACAGTTCTTTGCTGCGTATGACTTGAATATCTTTCGGCATGACTTACAACTGGATCATATTTGGCATTTCCACGTTTTTGGATGGTCCATCTATAGTTATATTCGTTTTGCTGTGCCTTCAGCTTCTCTGAAAATATTTTCAGTTTACTTAAAATTTAGATGGAAAGGGTCTTTAAGAGTCGAAATAAGGTTTCTTTGAAACTGTTGATAATTACATTTTTCACTTCTTAATTTCGTCAGAGAAAAAAAACTGTAAGGAATAAGATATAAACTTAATGTGATTATATACGATGTTTCTAGAATTAAATAACAATTAATCTTGATACAGAAACATGTCTTACAACTCAATATAATCTTATAGAGTAAATTTAAAGGATCATCAAGTAATGCTGAATGGCACTGACATAAATCGTGACTGGAATGTTATATCCTAGACGAACATTTTGTTACAGTTATTGAAACCAATTGAGTTTATAACGGCATCTCGCTTTATTAACACTAATAAGAAATAATTTCAGGCATAGGAGGGGGAAATGCGAGTCATGAGTAAGGTAATTGAAAAAGTAAAACGATTTGCGCTTTTTGTGGGACTGAGTGGGTTAAAGAAGATTTGCAACACCATGCGATGCGATGAGAGAATTTGTACAAGGACAACGGAAACCTGGCGTGTTAGAGAGCTTGCCACAAACTAAAACTAAATTGCCAACAGAAGAAAGGCATTGTTAAAAGATATTTATATGAAAATGAACAGTGTGTGATTTCTACGTCTTAGATAGTGGTACGAAACATATAGAAATAATTTCACAGTTACATTCAAACAATACCGTTTGGGTAATCCATACGTCCGGGGTGGGTGGTGATCCAGATGGAAGGCTATATGGCGACATTAAGGCCAAACTTTGGTCAAGGATTAATCAAAAACTGTCGATAATATAGGTCCCATGACAGACGTTAAGCAATGGGGCCACTTTTATTTGTCTAGAACTAAGACAACTAATACCATGGTTTAATATATTAATCATTTAGAAAGAATAAACAGACGAAAATGAAATCAGAATGTCTCTTGAGTATTATTGAAGAGATCGTCAATATCTTATCAACTGAATAAACACGATGGCCTCTAGATTGTCAATATGGCTGCGACTTTACCACAATAAGAGTTACATTTTAGCGGAAGTGATGTATTGAAATTTAACGCTCTATGACGCTTAAGATCGATTGTGTAAATGAAGTAAAGAATGGACTTACAATTTCCTTATCGTGCCGACTTTTCCTATTTCACTGTTAAATTACAAACTATACATGTGTACTGTGTTGACTCAAAGGAGGAGTATCTGCAATGATATGGCCCAAAATTGGTTCATTAAGTTCTTGTCAAACCATGTCTTCAAGTTCGACAGAGGTTCTGAGCACCTTACTCATACGTTATAAATAAGAGTATGGACCCCGTATAATAGAATACGTCGAAAGTTTAGTGTAATATGATGATGAGAACATAGTCTCATGAAAGCACTGGCCAAGGTCACAAAGAAAAGATTAGTGCAACTACAAATACGCTCTCCTCTAACTCTTACTACGTCTTATACCATTGACTGCATCGTTTTGAAGCTTATGCTAAAACTTACCCATAACGTATTCGACAAGTTTTTCTTACGCCGGGTATACACTTGCTTAATTGTCAATAGGCCATTAAATCTTTATTCTGTTCAAGGCATGGAACATTCCAGAAAACGTTTGGCTTTTTTACCATAGTACGATTATACAACTAGAACTTTGAACCCATTTAGCTAGAGTTGACACTTCGTTCTTTGATATTTCATTGGTGAATGTTTTGGGTTGATTTTCCAACAGAATAAACTATTTTCTTGGAATATCATCCTTTGCGAATCATGCTTCATCATTCACAAAGAAATAAATATGTCTAAATAAAAAATTGAAGAGTGACCAAACCTGATACGAAAATGACATCATTGTCATACATGTGAAGTTAGTTCATTAAGAAACGGTTTTCCTTTTTATTTTGTGTAATAATTTACTTTCTTCCAATATGCCATGAATAGACTATTTTGTTACGTGTTTATCACCAATATAGTCGGAGGTCTGATCTTGTCGTTTACAGTCGTTTTTAAGTTTAAATAAACTTATTGGACAAGTAAACTACAAGATTTACAGGTATACTACCTCTTAGGATGACCAAAAAACTAAATAATAATTCATTAAAGTAGGTAATTTTAAAACAAGCTTAGAAGAGTGTTTCAATAATTGTTTAGTTTAATGGATATTTCCTTTTATACAGAGATTCTATTCTTTAGTCTTGACACCTGGTAAGTCAACCTAATGGATATATACATTTACTGACAAAGTTTGAGACTTTTAAATTTTAGAGGTAATATCCTTTTAAGAACTGTATCTATTTACAGTGTTAAATGCCAAGTCACAATTATATGGTCAAGGGGAAATAACTTTTTTCATTTGTAGAAACTACAGACACAAGGCGCTTGACTCTAACAATCGTTTGTCTCAATACCGATATATGGAAAATGGAATGTTTGTTTGTGCCTACGTAAGTGTCCGGGATATTTTTTGGGGGATCTAAATGATTTATGAGATGTACTTTCACAACGATTTGAATAGCAATTCCAACAAAATGTAACAATACATGAGAAAATTGTATTTTAAATAGTGCTAGTATGACCTAGTTTTATAGTTACCTAACGAAATCTTGTATAATTATATCTGTATATTTTTAACTAGTATATCTACACGTAATATTAGTACTTTGCCTTCTGTACTCTTATAAGTTATATGTCTGATTTAAGCTTTTCTACATTTAACTGATTCATCAAGTTTTGTGCACTGGTGTGAGTAATATTTAATTCTTTTTTTTATGTTAAAATTCTTCGCTAGTGGTTTTTGAAACATATGTTTTTAATTTGAGTATGTTAAAAGTTCTGATCTAAAAAAAATTGGTAAAATAAATGTATATTTGCAAATGACAGCTCCGAGGTGAAATAGTTTCAAATATTGGTCAAATGATTTATGTACTTCGAAACTTCTTATTATTGTTCGAAATCACTTGGGTTTGTATGAGGCAATGTTACTACAAGATCTCACAACAGCGTAGTAAGTTGTAAGAGGGCACTCAAAGTTCAGCGGGTCATTGACAAATACGACCTTCTCAAGGGCCATGTGTGTTTAATATTACACTTAAAATAGAACAACGGAAAAGAAAATCAATTTTATGAACTGAAAATGGATTCAAACGTTGAAATACCATTGAACAATACGACATTTTTAAACACTGATTATGTTCGGAATGATTGTTCTGAGAGCGATGATGTGGAAAAGATAGACGTGGTCGCAGTTAAGCATCCAGTGGTTATTTCTCTTCTGTTAAAATCACGTTCAGCGCTTTCCACTTTTTGTTGTGAGTATAGACAACTATTACTTAGGATTTTTTATTTCGTGGTTTTTATTCTGTATGTTATATATTTCGTCTTTGCATTACACCATGAATTCGGGGGCGAAGGATCAATTCGACTGGTCACTGTGACGTGTCTTGTGTGCTTTGGAATAGTATATGTGCAGTTACGAAAGAAATTCGGTAAAAAGGTTTATGGAAGCTGTGTGAGGCCGATTGAAGATCAATATAATCAACACAGAAAGGTTATATTCAGGTAGGTATAATAATGGAGTCGTAATTCATAGGTTTACTTTTTCTCGTACAGGACGCGATTAATTTGACCAAGAACATCGTAAAATCAAGATATTTTTCTGCATACCTCAATGTTCCAAAGCAACTTAACAGATCTGCTATATTTCAAACTATGACTGAATTCTAAAACTAGCAATTTACATTACCTAATCTGTCCAATAGACAATTATTTGTGGTCAAATTTCTTCTCTCAATCGTAGTGGAAAGAAGTCTTTAACTTGGTCCATATGGGTTTCTTGAAACCACTTGACAAGGGTTTTATCGACTTGTTTGACGAAAAGTATGCTGGGTCGTATGACTGAAGCAATTGTACTTACAGTAATATGATTCAACGTCATGTTATTTTGGTTACAGATTATTTCTAGCTGCAGTATGTATTGGTATTATGTCATTTATGATAGTAGATGTAATATTAAAGAGACCAGAACACCTGATATCAGCTGTTGGTATAATACTTATAATATTGATAATGTTTATAACTTCGCATGACCCAGCTGCTGTAAGTATTATCATCGGTTGATAAAAATTTGATCAACAGAATTTACATAAAGAGATCAATTCAGCATTTATAGAACGTCGTCTGTTATAAATAAGCTAAGTAGGCCTACTAATGATCCAAACCGGAAAACGAAACCTGTAATCCAAAACAACATATTGGTGAAACATTGGTTGCATCTGATGAATTTTTCACTCAAGGGAGTATATCAATCTTAAGAAAAAATATATTTCTTAATGAAAATTGGTATCAAGAATCTAGATATGTTGAAAATATTTGTATCCAATTTTAACAGTTCAAGGGAGGTAACTGATCACAAAAGTTATATTATGACCAGACAGACCTTTACAAACACCCACAGCAATGAGGAAATATTCTATCATGAAAAGTGGCATCAAGTGTCCAGAAGAATTAGCATACACTGACTTCAACCACACCTGCCATTTCTGCACGATACAAATACAAATACATACTAAATAGGAAGTACAAATAATTATAGAAACATCTGGTGGCAACTCGACTTACTATTGTGATCAACAGGAAACGCCAGATGTGTAAAACCATGTTTTAACGTAGGTCCTTCAATAAAATGTCTGCAATGAAAGCAGTAATAGATATATTTTTTTGGATTAAATCATGATGCCGGCCGTAAAATTTCGAAATGAAAAAAAATCTTTTTTTTCAGGAGCTTGGTTACGTCACCTTATCCACTATGTAACTATTGAATTAAAATGAAATGAAGTTATCTCTGCTGAAATGTCAGAAGCGAACCCCTTTTCTTTCTCAGATCTTTAATTTGAGCAGCTTGGGACTTTTTATAATTTGTCAATTACTGTTTTCGATTGTAGATAAAATGGAAAACTATATTCTCTGGGTTGTTGCTACAGTTTATATTTGCTTTAATGATACTACGAACGTCTTGGGGTTACGAAGCTTTTAAATGGTTGGCAGCAAGAATTACAGATTATCTTTCGTTTACCTATGAAGGGGCGAAATTCGTTTATGGTGAAAACTTTGGTGAACATTTTTTTGCGTTTGGTGTAAGTTTACCATATTAGAATCCTTTCTTCCATAACTGGAATGTTATTTCTAAAAAGAGTGAATAATAAGATTCTTGGTTTATGTAATGTTGAAACAGTGCGGTAAACTATGATGGGATATTGGTAATTGTTGTTTTGTAGAATCAGATACTATATATAGCAAATGCATTGCATGGGTTACACTTTTATTTTGTTGCAGGTGATGTCCATAATAATATTCTTCAGTGCGACCATTTCTGTATTGTATTATTTGGGTTGGATGCAGATTTTCATAGAAAAGATTGTGTGGATTATCATGAATGGCATGGGAACTGGTGCCATGGAATCGTTGCATGCTGCTGTCAACATATTTGTCGGGTGGGTAAGTTTCACAGAGAACGTTTGTGGACACAATCCTTAAATCTATACCAGCTTAAAGCCACTGTTACATACAACTTTAGAATTTTCTTCTAATAAGCAGAACTCCAAATAAAACTGACACACAAATGGGGGCATTTGGCCACCTAGAAAATGAAATGAATGGAGTTTTACGTCCTACTTTTCTCCCTCTTAGACGCTTTATGAGAGGCTTGCTACTATGACACCACCACAGAGTGGCCTAAATTTGAATTCAGCCTCAGCAGTTGTCCCCACATTTAGTCAGTCTGCCCCCTATTTGTACCCCCAGTCTCGGAAGGCTTATTATAAACCTAAGCTTCCGTTTTGGTCATGGCTTATACATTTCAACTCCAGGGAGAGGCTTTAATGATAGTGCAACCATTACTTCACAAGATGACAACAGCTGAAATCCATGCTGTGATGACCAATGGTTTCTCTACAGTCGCTGGCAGTACACTTGGGGTTTATATTTCTTATGGTGTAAGTTTCTTTAAAACTATTGGGAATGAATTTGAAGCTTTAGCTAAGAAAATGATATTATGTCAATGGCTGATGGTTTTAAGCTCTGAATTCGAGTGTAAAAGCAACAATGGATATTGCTAATATTGTTTATTTGGTAGCCTATATTGATTCTTGATATCTTGCTCGACGGGATGTTTTACAATTCAGGCTCCAGCGAATCATCTTATATCAGCATCATTTCTGTCAGCTCCTGCAGCCCTGGTTATTACTAAATTAACCTTTCCCGATAGATTGGACGATAGAATTGAGAAGAAAAAGATACCCAAAATACCGCGGTAAGCTTGACGAATATGAGCACAATTATTTAAAACCTTTCAGACAACCCAGGTCATGATGTGTCTGAAGGTCTCTCAATGGATATGTTCGGTGGTATACAGAAGGCTTATATATAAGGATGAAACAGCAGCGTTTAATCAATGTAAATTATCAAGAGCAGTAGATTTACTCGATAAGGTTTTATATTTTGTCTCAGTCATCATACAATCATTTCAAGTAAATGGATTATGTCATTTCAGTACAGGGGGTGGTATTATGGACGCAGCTTCCAGTGGTGCAGTAGCTGCCTTGATGATTATAGGACACATTATTGTCAATGTTATAGCATTAGTATCATTGCTGGAATTCATAAATGCTGTATTGTTGTGGTTTGGAGAGAGAATTGGTCTGGGCCCACCAGACTACGCACCATTAACGTTCCAGGTAAGATGTGTACAGATGACAAACGAATAATACTTTTAAAGGATGTTAGACTGTTTGAATACAGCTTAAGATGTCCAAGTAACAAATCGAACAAAATATTAACTTATTTCTCCAACTCAAGCGATGATTAATTTGCAGATTTTTTGTACCAACTATATTTACGCATAATGTTTTAATACCACCATACAGATGTTGAATCACAGGACCAAATCTAAATAAACCTTAGGGTAACTACATGGAATTGTTTTCTATATTTCAGCTGCTCTGTTCCTATGTTTTCTGGCCACTGGTTTACATATTGGGGGTTCCTGCATCTGATTGTAAAATTGTTGCCCGAATGGTCGGCGTAAAAGTGTTTGTAAATGAATTTATAGCTTATAAAGATTTGGGTAATGTGGTAAGGAACAGATTGGCCCTACAGAACTATAATGGTACCTGGTCCTGGACTAATACTGATGATATAATTTTATCGGACACCAATACAACTTTAATTGGTGGTGTGCTTTCAGTAAGTATAAGGTAAACCTTTTTTATTGCTGTCAAATAGGCTGATAAGCTAGTTTTCCTATTTCATTTTTAAATTTTGAAACACTCCCATGATGGATTCAGCCAATTTATAGAAACCAGAATCAGCGTATTTCAACTGTAACGATTCTGCGTTTGGGGCATATTTGGTCAATGGTACAATAGCTTTCACGTTCCCCTTGTTAACAAGCATGTTACACACATATCTTGTCTATTTAGGCATAATAACTTTATTTCTTTTTTCAGAAACGTTCTGAAATGATAGCAACCTATGCTATTTGTGGGTTCTCTGATTTTGTAGCTCTGGGTATAATGGTAGCAGCATTAACCTCTATAGACCCGTCCAGAAAAAACGAAATACTCAAATGCGGGCCAAGGGCTTTAGTATCTGGTATTATGGCTTGTTTTATGACAGCTTGCATGGCGGGTAAGACATTTATAAAAGTGATGTGGACAAGATGTGTTACTTTTGTCTCTTTTTTCTCCAAACATATGCTTAAATCAACGCCATAACATACTTATCAGTGCTTTCTTGTCCAAGTTGATTGTACACATCAAGGCAATCTCTTATTATATGAGTTTTTTAATTTCAGCATTTGTTGGTGGAGAATAAGATTTGATCACCAAGGAGCGCAGACTGTTTTTGTCGCACAAGTTACGACACGAATTTGGAGACCTCAGAAGTGTTTCTTTGACCTAATCCAGTGCCTTTTGATACCAATAATTGCTCAAAATTGTTTAATAAAAGTGTTTATTGTTTTATATCTAAATATATACTATAGATTGAATAAAAAAGTACCAAACAAATGTAGATCGAAATTTGATGGATCTGGAATAAAGTCTGAAAAACAAAAGAAAAAATGCGTTCAAGTGAAATGACTACAGGGGTTAACTATATGATCTAACTTTCGTTCTTTTGACTTTTGGTTAATAATAAGTTTATGAAATAGACGTGTTTGCTACTCGCATTGGACCCAATTATCCACATTGTATTGCGCCTCTTTCTACAGGTAATAATTTAACTGCTCTTGGTCAACTCAACTAGATGATTGGGACCTCTCCCCAGGGAACATGTGCTCTCCTATATATTTTTCTGCAGTGGACTTGGTATAAAAAAATAAATAAATAAAATGAAATAAGAAAAGAAATACCAATATACTTACTTAAGCAATACAAAACGGAAACGTCGGTGTAGTAAGTAAGAAATAAGAACCACGACCAAAGCTCGATGTTGGTGAATAGTTAAATCCCATTCTGGCACAACCTTGGTACCCACAGCTATTACAAGTCAGTGGTGCTGTACGTATGATAGATTCATCACATGGCACTGCTAGGAATTCACAGTTGTTGATAGACGCAACAAAATAATCTATAGCACGTAGGTGATCACACGCAATAGCATCTGTTACAGCTGAAAGGAAATGATGCAGACTTGGTTTTCTCTTTTGATAATAGGATATATATACATATATACTATTTAGAGAGTAAGTTAAAATAAAAAAAATTGACTGAGTATCTTGGATTTTAACATTATACCTTCAGAATATAACTGAAAAAGTCAGATAATATAAGTCGTACATATTATTCTTCAAATCTACCCACCTCTAGTTGGGTTTGGACATCTGCATAAGATGATAGCCGAGAAATTTTGGTACACTGATATACAGAATCCTTGTCTAATACGTGTTCTGTTATTTCTTTCACTTTCTATCTTTTTTAAGAGACAAGATTACCTTAAACACTCATATTTCATATCCCCGGTCTAGAATTAGACAGCGCATTTATATGCGAGTTCCATCCATCTTAGGCTAGTTCTGATAGACTAATGCTTATAAGATTCTGACTTACCGATATTCCCCAGTAGGAAATCTTCTAAAGAATATGCGGCAGGTGGACATCCAGGTTGATCTATTCCACCATTAGGATAGAAATCAACACTACCAATAGATTTTGATATGCCCAGTCCTACGATGTGAAATGATATATAGTAGATTTAAAGTCACAATGATATAAAATCCGGTGATGGCGCTGGCTTCCTTATTCTTTTATTCCAAATGTGATAGCTCTTGATCGTCTGAAAGCTTCACACTAAGAATATTTTTGAAAAAAAAATATAATTGATTTTGGTGCATTCGGACACATTCATTTTGGGGCTAAAATGTATAAATAAATTTGTAAACACGTTTTCTGGAAGCTTTGTAAAAGTTGATAACCAATAAATAAGAGTGGGGTATTTACCTATCTGTCCATTTCCAGGTGTATCAGTATGTATCACATCAACTATTTGAGCATCAAAAGAATCTAATCTAGCCCAGGCACTAACATCTTCGAATAATGGACCTGCTGGATCTAAACCTATGAAAATATAAATCTATTTAGAGAAATATCCCGTTATTGAAATAGTTTTATATTTTGTTTGCAGTTCTTTTGTTGTGCTAGATTTGCTACTAGAAGTAATCCTTTTTACATTAATGACTGTGACAACAAATTATACGTCACCAATAGGAGTACATCTAGAAAATACCATATCAATGATAAACGTCAATAGATAGATAACGTTTTGTAATTTTTTCGGAGCAGGAAGGTCAGTTTTGGAATTAAATAAAACGTACCAGTAATCCTGCCAATCCATGGCGACTTCTTACCGGCAAAACCAGCAGCATGAGCTCCAACCCCATGTCCAATAATATGGATGTGATGAGGTGTGAAAATAGTATAGAGGTTACTTGATGCCAATTTATCTAGCATGGCAGCAACACTAGCACCCACAATTCTAGAATTGGCAGCAGCCTGTTTGTACAGACCACTTGCACCTTTTGACCATTCAACAGCAATTACATTAGCATCTTCCTGAAATAAGAAAGTTCTTCTATCCAGTTTGACATAAAGAAGTGGTGAGCAACTGTTTATCGGTAGATTTCTTCCAGACAATTCACAAGTGCTATAGCGAGTTCTATCCATAAAAAATTCTATTAAGTGTAGCTCTTGCACAACGTTGTGCGTTGGTGTGTCAGTGGGCCTCGGCTCTATACTCATTCCACCTATGGTAATATAATGATATTACAAAAAGCTTACCTTTGTAAGAATTTGTGCTGCCATCTGTCGTACCCAGATATCAAGTCCTGTATTTTTATATCCATGAATGATAACGTAGATTTTCTTGGAATTGTCAAAATTTGATACAGCAATCGTTTCTGGAGAAGAACAGTCTAGTAGTTGTGGTACCAACGGGTTTTTTTGAGTGAACAAGACATAAGCCAAGTTCTGGTCTAGAGGAGACTGAGGTAGAACATCGTTATGGAATGGTGGAAAGTTGTTAAAGCAACCTAAGTTATCATAACACACGAGGGATGGTGCACCACTGATGCCCGTTCCTGTCAGAGAACCGGACGTCAATCTTTCAAAACTTTTGTAAGCAGAAAAGGACTTGCTGGATTCATAATTAAAGAATGAATATCCTATAAAATAAAATAAGCTTGTGTAATGAATAAAGAATGATTTAACGAAATGACCAGCTTTTGACACCTTTCCTTTTAGGACGATCACTTGAATTAGCACCCGTTGGTCTATAATCATAGAGGAATTGTTAAGGAAAAATATTGAATTTATACCCAATAGTCCCAAATTTAAAGCCAGTTTTGTCGCTTTTTCTAAGTTCATGAGATTTAGTCCAAACCCCAAAAAATAACATTACTCACCGTTTACAGCAAACAAGCTTGAACACAATAATAACACCAATATCATTTTCATAGTTAATCTTCTTTTGATACAATTGAAACAATTTTTCATCTTATATATACTTTGTAACCATTGAAAATCGACGGGATAGAGATTACGGTAAATCTTTTAATCTTGATGTGTCGTTATTAGCCCCATTAGTCACCAGTCTTTAATGCTTTAAGTATTATTGGTCATTAGACCTACTGGACACTGCAACATCAAGACTACTAAATAGTTCTATTGATCTTTATGTCTGAACTGTTATGCATCTTGCTTTCATCTTTGTTCTTTGAATCTATTAGCTTTGCATATATATTAGCCTAATAGCCTACCTTGCCTGATTATAGGTAAATAATTTCGAGGCTTCTTAAAAAAACAACGTTATGTATATGTTATTATCTTACGGTATTTTCCTTATCAACTACTAAATGTAAAAAAAAATTACGCAATGCTTTTGGCTAGTAGCCTCTAGATGTCTTAAGCTATTGTATCCTCGATATTTTTACCGTTGGGATAACAACAATAACAGGCTTGGAACAAGTTTATTGTTTCCAAATATTAATTTTTCTTTAAAAAAATTATATCGGAATAAATATTTTCTGATTATGACAGTCTCATGTTACATGTAGGTAGGCGTTCAAAAATAGCACGTCATCAACAAAGCAAGATAGCTTGCGTTGCAAGGTAACATACTCCCACTGGCAGCTGTCAGAAATAATAAAACAGTCTTTAGTGACTAAAGTACGAATTTTCTCATATTGAAGAAATTATTTATGCTGAATAATTCCACAAATTTTTTTAAACTCAATATCAATAACCCAAATACAACAAACAATTAAATCACACAGCTCTAATCAAGGGCAAAAAACAACTTTTGACGCGTGTTTACAAAGTCAAGGGCAATAACTCAAAAAATGTTCATCAAAAATATCTCTTGTTAGAACTTATCAATTCCAATGATCACACCAAGTTTCATCAGAATCGGTTGAAAACTGTAGCTTCTATTGTGCTCACAAACAAATTTTGACATGTTTTTCGTAAGTTAATGGCATTAACTCAAAAACATTTCATCGAAAATGAGTCAAGTTAGAACTTGTACGAGATCTTATCAATTTCAATGATCACACCAAGTTTCATCAGAATCGGTTGAAAAATGTAGTTTCTATTGAGCTCACGAACAAATTTGACGCGTTTTTACAAAGTCAAGGGCAAACTCAAAAACCGTTCATCGAAAATGCGTCAAGTTAGAACTTGTCCGAGATCTTATCAATTCCAATGATCACACCAAGTTTCATCAGAATCGCTTGAAAACTGTAGCTTCAATCCTGCTCACAAACTATTTTTAACAAATTTCAACACGTTTTAACAAAGTCAAGGGCAGTAACTCAAAAACCGCTCATCGAAAATGCGTCAAATTAGAACTTGTCCGAGATCTTATCAATTCCAATGATCACACCAAGTTTCATCAGAATCGGTTGAAAACTGTAGCGTCAATCCTGCTCACGAACTATTTTTAACAAATTTTGACACGTTTTTACAAATTCAAGGGCAATAACTCAAAAACCGTTCATTGAAAATGCGTCAGATTAGAACTTGTCCGAGATCTTATGAATTCCAATGATCACACCAAGTTTCATCAGAATCGGTTGAAAACTGTAGCGTCAATCCTGCTCACAAACTATTTTTAACAAATTTCAACACGTTTTAACAAAGTCAAGGGCAATAACTAAAAAACCGTTCATCAGAAATGCGTCAAGTTAGAACTTGTCCGAGATCTTATCAATTCCAATGATCACACCAAGTTTCATCAGAATCGGTTGAAAACTGTAGCTTCAATCCTGCTCACGAACTATTTTTAACAAATTTCAACACGTTTTAACAAAGTCAAGGGCAATAACTCAAAAACCGTTCATTTAAAATGCGTCAAGTTAGAACTTGTCCGAGATCTTATCAATTCCAATGATCACCCCAAGTTTCATTAGAATCGGTTGAAAACTGTAGCTTCAATCCTTCTCACAAACTATTTTTAACAAATTTCGACTCGTTTTAACAAAGTCAAGGGCAATAACTCAAAAACCGTTAATCGAAAATGCGTCAAGTTAGAACTTGTCCGAGATCTTATCAATTCCAATGATCACACCAAGTTTCATCAGAATCGGTTGAAAACTGTAGCTTCAATCCTGTTCACGAACTATTTTTAACAAATTTCGACGCGTTTTAACAAAGTCAAGGGCAATAACTCAAAAACCGTTAATCGAAAATGCGTCAAGTTAGAACTTGTCCGAGATCTTATCAATTCCAATGATCACACCAAGTTTCATCAGAATCGGTTGAAAACTGTAGCTTCAATCCTGCTCACAAACTATTTTTAACAAATTTCGACGCGTTTTAACAAACTCAAGGGCAATAACTCAAAAACCGTTCATCGAAAATGCGTCAAGTTAGAACTTGTCCGAGATCTTATCAATTCCAATGATCACATTAATTTTAATTAGAATCGGTTGGAAATTGTAGCTTTAATCCTGCTCACGAACTATTTTTAACAAATTTCGACGCGTTTTAACAAAGTCAAGAGCAATAACTCAAAAACCGTTCATCGAAAATGCGTCAAGTTAGAACTTGTCCGAGATCTTATCAATTCCAAAGGGCCGAGGATATTCGCCACCCGGGTGGCAAACAATTATTCGCCACCCTCATTTTTTATTTGCCACCCGTTTTTAAAACTTTAATTTCTCTAGAGACTGACATTATTAGCTGTGAAGGCTATAGCGTTACATGCATTATAATGTTTTTTTATGTTCATTAGAAACGCTTTTTTGCAATTCCTTTCAGAAAAATGTACGAAAATAATTGATAATCGCTGTCCCATTGGATGGCTATTTATAGTCAACCGGTGTAAAGTCTA